TCCCTCGTGTTACTCCCCTATCACCCTCAGTCTCGCTCCGGTTGGTTAGCAGAGGTGTCTCCAGCACAGTCTACGCATCGCCCCCGGCAGAACCATCTTTAGACAGAATGCCTACGTCAGGCAGAGGCGGAAAAAGGGCACGGACCCCCGCAAGAGGACGGAAAATGGTCAGGGGGGGGCTTTGTTCCCTCTTTTTTTAATATCCTAAGAAAAAACAGCCAGCCCCCTAGCTGCAATCAGCCCCCGGCTCCACTCTATCCCACTTGAGCTGGAGGAAAAAGAGGGGGGAAAAAAAGAGAACTCTTTTAGTGTCTTTCTTCTCACTTGGCTCCAGAAACAGCAGTGATCATGGCAGTCCTCCTTCAGCCTTTTGTGCGAAGCGAACAAGGAAGAGCAAAGCGGAGGCGCGGAAAAAAGGGAGCGCGAGTGAAAAACTCCCCCAACGAGCGGCGGTGTGAATGCGCTGCGCGCCGCGGCGCCCCTGCCTGCTGCGCGCCGCTCTTCCTTTCGCTCCGCTACTGCGCGCACATTTTTCCTTCTCTCCTTTTTTTTCCCTTTTTTAATTTGAGATCTGACCATAGCATTTTAAGAACGCCGCCCCCCTCCCCACTCGCTCGCTCGCTCTCTCTTTCTCGCCGCACTCCAGATCCCCTTTCCTGAAGAAATATCCCTCGCCTGTTTATTCTTCCAGCATATTTCATGACCGTTTCTCCAGATAAAGATCTGTTTTACGAGAAAAACGAAAAGTTAATTGAACAATTCTTCAATCCCGGAATTACCTATTACTCTTCTGCCTAGATCTATATTAGAGTATAATACCGTATTCTTTCTTTTTAAAAAAACACACGCGCGCGCACACACACAAATAAACTTTCACCACAACAATAAAACAGCCACACCACAAATACCATCTTGCTATTTCACCACACAATCACAACTTAAATTTAACTTGGTTTGCAGTTACTTATGAATGCCCTAATATTTCAGAGGTAACGATAACAGGCTTTTTAAACAATGACAGAATAGGGCCCACCCTTAAATAAATTATCGATGTTGCAAGTCCCAGTTTCCTTGAAAGAAACAAACTGTTCCCTCAGGCACTTGTCACTCACTCTTAAAGCAAAAACGTTAAACAGCAGGGCTTGGTTACATACCAGTGGCTAATTACTTTTAAAAAGTGCTAATGAAATGGCCAACACACAAGATGAAGGGGTGGGGGTCACACAATACCCTAGGACAATTCCCACCCTGGCAACAAACCAGCTCTGCACAATTTTCACCTCACACGCTAAAGGATGCTGTGCTTTACGGAGCCTGCAGTAGTAAAATGTGACAGGTCCCACGCCTGAAGAATGCCTCCCACACCTCCCACATAGAACAGCCACAGTGATGGGAGCGAAATGGTATTTGACTAAGGGAACAGAAGAAAAGTATTATTAAACACCTCAAACTACGGTGAGAGAGCGGCATTTGATGTCAATGAGTTTATGGGAAACAGGCACTAAGAAGAAATCCAGTTCCTCTGGTACTGTGGCAGAAATGCAGGAAGAAGAGTGGATGCAACCAAATTCTCTAATACTACAAGTTTGCTATGAATGACCAGCTGGAGCTCCACATCACCAACACATCATGGTCACGTCTCAGGGAAAGATCTACTGTTCCTGACATCTAACTGCTTCCTTAAATACCACAGTGAAGTATACAGATTTAAAAATACATAAATCACACAACAAATATAGGTTGCGTTATTGAAACCTTCTCGCAAAGTTAACATAATTAATAAAAAATAATTACTAAAATTTAAAGCCATTTTATCCTAATATTACATCTACATTATGAGGGGCACATAATTCGCTTTTCTTCAGTAAAAATGACATTTCGCAGTTCATTGAGCTGAAATATGGAGCTTGCTTGCTATGATTATTTTACAAAATATGTAATTTTGTTTAAAACATTACAAAGCCATAGTGGCATTTAGTCAAAGGATATATATGTATATAATAAGTGTTTAAGGAAGCCAATTATACTGAAACCTTTCCTGGAGGTCATCCAACTGTAATCCTTCAAAACACTTGAAAAGACATTCAAATGTATAAGGAAGAATGCACTCACTTTCAGTAATTATTCTATAGCAGTCAATGGATTCTTAGGTGATAGAGGACTGTCAAGACTGAACTAACGCTAAACTGATTAGTGTATGAGGTACCGTGGTCTTTAGAAAGCTGTATTCCTCATGTCATAGAAAACACTGCAACTGCATTTAAATGAGACAATTCATCTAACATATACTCAAGTGCAATTGATGGCCTTGTGATGAAGCTGTTAAAAAGAATGGGAAAACAAACATGAGAAAAGGATGGATCTGGACAAGCAATCAGCCCCCGCTCTTATATACTGCCTTAATTTATTTAGTAGGGAGTTTTAGCCAAGGTGGCATAGAATAGAGAAAGGAGGAACAGCCAGTTCCTGGAGCAAGGATTAGGATGCTCGCTCAAGGGATTTGAACCCATGACCTTCTGATTACAGACACACTGTCCTAACCCGCACAGCCACATACCACTCAAAACGTTCATGTAGCATTGACAGGTGAACCACATATAAATGCATTTGGAAACATCTGCTTGTGTTGGTAACCGATCAGGAAACAACCAGCAACAATTCCCAAGTGAGGAAGATAAAAGTGAAATTTTTCTTTATATAAAGACACTCAAAACGCCTCACACCCCTAATCTTTTGTTCCTGTTTTTGTTCCCCTTTTCCCTGGGAGCGTAACATAAAACAGAAACTGTTTCTCTGTAACTCCCAGTGTCTTGTGACTCTGTTTAACAGGGAGTCATTCTTTAATTCTTTCATAAACAACTTGATACATTTCATTTACGTTTATTTCTTTAGCAGACGCTTTGGTCGAAATTGACACAAAAGTGAGGCTTGACAGCAGGGTCAGGAGTAACTAGTGTCTTGCTCAGTGGTTGAATCACTCTGTCAGCCACGATATTTCAACCAGCAGCGTTCCGATCACAGGTACAGAGCCAAACACTGTATGCACAAATTTCTTGACTCATTAAAATAAAAATAAATAAAATAAAATGCTTATCTTTTTTTTTTTTTTTTTTTTTTACTTTAACCAAATACCCAGTCATACGAGGCTATTGACTGAATAAAACTTTTAATCAACTGGGAGCCAAAAGTGATGTTCTGGATGGTCTTCTTTAACCATCACACAGAGATGCTAGAACAATTCAAACAGTCACTCACAGTTACACAAACTATTTGCATAGTCTCCCAAGTGAACATTAGGCCTTGCCCTCTGGCTCCCACCAGTGGCAGGAAACTTGGGACATAACCAGTGTTAGTGGAGCTGACCTCTGAATGCCCCACCAACCCCCTATGGCCACAGCCAATCCCACAGCTGAACGCCCATCTCATGACACCCTTTTTGAAACTGGATCTAAAAGAGGAAGCAGAAGAAAATCCATTTTTCTCCAGTCGCCAGTATACTTACCTGAGAGGCACCTATTGTTTTGGAACTAAATCCAGGGGGAGGATCCTGTTCCGGTGGCAGCTAAAGCTAAATAAAGCCAGTGTCGTTACTTGCCAGCCTTCGCGAGCCAGATCACACAACAAAGTGGTTCACTGACTAGCCTCTTTGTTTTCTTTGATCTCTTCCGTTGCCTGCAAAGCGAGAAAACTGTGCAGGTAGTACGGGGGAAGAGGGAACGTTAGCACAAAAAGCCACTGAGCCGGGCTGAGCAAGGAACCGATTAGGGACCGTCATTTCTGTCTGGATGGCGGCCTGGCGTCCATCGTCACTCACAAACTGGAGCGACGCCCCCAAATTGCACGCAGGTTTGCTGAGGGCTGGAGAAAGGGCGGAAAGAATATCGCAGATGATGTCACAAAAATCGCAGAGTGGCTGCAAACCACAGCCCCCCCCCCCCCCCCAACTTGGCTAAGTCTTTCCCCCTGGAAAAATATTGCCAGATGGGGCAAGAGAGAAAGGAGAGAGAGAAAGGATGAAGGAAGAGGGAAAAAGAGCAGGAGAGAGGAGGACAAAAAGAGGACAAGTGGAGTCGAAAAAATGTAGGAGAAACTGACATTCAGAAATCTCTCAGGGAAGAGTTCTCGCATTTTTTTTTTTGGTGAAGCCCCCACCTCCCTATTCCTCAGCTCTCCCCACCCCCCCCTTTCCTCTGAGTTGACAGAAGCCATCTGGCCTAGCAGAAAGGATGAAGCTCGCCAGCAGCACGCCCCCAGTGGCATAACAAAGTGCCCCCCACACACATGACACGGTCCCGGAATACACGTCCGATGCCCAACGCCCCACAACCCCCCCGGTGCGTCCCACCCACCACCGTCCAGCTATCCCACGCAACACAGCTGGGTTTCCACACACACATCAGGCTCCATGGTGCCACAGGAGGGATAAGATTACAACATCAAAAGAAGTTACTTAGCGCAGCTGTACACGGCGGCCATTTTATCATAATGAAAGCAAACAAGCTCCGCAAGTGATATCGCAGAAACATTTCGCAAACAGATGGACCTCCTCCCCCCACTGTAAACACAGGTGAGAGATATGTCACATGGTAGAGTCTGATCTCTCAACATTCAGGCTGGAAACCCTGAAAGATAAGGAGCAGT